GGGGGTCAAGTATAACAGCAACGACAGCAACGACAAGCACAATAAAGATTGAGACACATGGTAGACTTTAAATTTTTTTTTCACTGTATTAAGAGTTTAAAGTTTATGGGTCTTATCATATATGTTTTGTCAATTTTCTGAATTGTCGTAATTTAGCGAGTATAAGGTAATTTTTCTAGCTTAATAATAAATTAATTTTGTCGTGATTGATTAATATTCAATTATTCGTGCAAAATCAGTCATAGTACTACAAAAAAGAAGAAATTAAAAAAACCTGAGGATGATGAGGATGATGAAATTGAAGAAGAGAAATTAGAAGAGGAGGAAGGTTATGACTGGGAGGAAGCTAAGAGAGCACGGAAATCCGCCACGAAAAATAAATCGAAACAAAAGTCTGTGAGTTTTGATCCATTAATGTACCAATTTGATTTACATAAGAAGATTTGATCGATACTGTCAATATTTTATAAATTTGCAAAAAGAATATTTATGATTGTTTCCTCTATAATATGATTAGAAAGCAAAGACTTCAAAAAAGACCAAAAACACAAACAAAAAAAGAAAGCGAAACACAGATAATTCCGACAACAAAGATGTGGAAGAAGATACGTCGAAAATCAAACCAAAGGACCAAATGCCTATTGGACAATTTTTTAACAAGGTCGATGAATATGCACGGCCATTTCGAGAGGAAGATCATCAATTCTTATTAAATAAATTGGTAATTATATTCTGTGGACAAAGTACAATTTAATAATTATAAAATCACTAACCTAATAATATAATACCATTAGGCTGAGGCGGAAGATCGCAAAGCGTATGAAATTCCACCGCTAGGAAGACATTGGGAAGATTCACGCGACGAGGAACCGTATAATAGTGATCGAGGATATCATTCAGACGAGATTGTAGATGTAGAGACGTTAGGATTGGGTACTATTTCACATGGTCCATTGACAAGTCGGTTGTTCAGCGCTTTCATGACTGAAACAATAGATTTTGATATCACGAAATTTGAGAGTAAGGCTGAAAAGGAAGTTAATGGGCACAATGAAAAGAAAGAACCTCTCACCCCATTCAAAATTGAGGAAATTGGAAATATTGACGAAAGGCTCAAACTTGAGCTTCAATATGTTGGGCTATTAGAAAAAGATGAGGAACTTAGTAGTATGCAGGTATACTTTTGAATGAGCAAAAATTTTCGCATGATTACTTTTGTATTATTTTAATAATGCCATTTGAATGATTAGAAAGAACAGCCTGTTGTTGCTACTACAAATACAACTCAAAATGGAGGAGATGACGATCAAGTAAAAAAGAAGCTTATTGAGTTACAAGAATCCTTACGAAAAGAAAGTCAAATAAACGTCACTCGAATCTCAAAAATAATTCCAAGACTATGCAAGCATATAGCATATAATCAATTTAACGATATACTAGATCAGCTAGACAAGCAAATGGAAGATAGCTTTGCTGTACGATTTGTACGTAGAAGATATCATGAACGAGCTGTATCACACTTCTCTGATTTGATGTCAAATTGATGTGTGTTTTTTTTTAGAATTTAACGAAAACCCCAAAGAAGAAAAGACCGGCGAATACCGAAGAACCCGAATCGAATTTAATACGTCGCCAAAGATACACCGAACAAATCGGTCAATTGTTTAACCCCGAGGAGTTCATGTTGCCGACTGAATCAATTTTTGATGAGGAGGAGAATATTTCAACGTCAAATGAGAAGAGTTGATACATAATTTAAGAGGCATTATTTGATGAAGTTGAATTGGATGATAAAATGGAAAAGATGGTATGGAATCCTCTTTGCTTTTTGCTCATTAAACGTACAAGATTTATTGTGGATTAATTTAATTTTTTTATCGACGAACAGTTCTGCATCATCATAATTTCAAGATTTTGGTTTCTAATTTATTTTTTTTTGTTAGGATATACACGTCTTACCTAATTTAATATATAAAAATGAAACATTAATTGTATATTTAGGCACGCATTACACTGGAAGTCAAAAAAAATTTCGAATTCATATCAAATATTGTTAAGAGGCAACATTTTACGGACTCACACACCCTGTAATCGATTGGTTAGTGAATGAGATGATTAATAATAAATAACCATTCAAAAGCATTTTTTATACCGATTTTTTTGAAAAGTAAATGAATTTTATTAAAAAAATAAAAAAGTTGCACAATTTATTTACAAAAACTGATAATGATAAATGAAAAATATAAAATATATAAATATAATAAATTAAAAAAAGGTTATTGTGTGTATGTATATGTACACATATTTGCTGTGATGGAGATATGAATATGTAGAATATGTAGGTGTTGGTGTTGATGATGATGATAGTGATGATTAACAATAAAATAAATAAAAAAATTTTTTTTGCTGATGAAATGATGATTACGTTGATGATTACGTAGATGATAGAAATCTTTTATGCAAAGACACTAACAAGAGACGTTTTAAACACAATCCTACATTTTGATGCAAAACGTTTAAAATAACGTTTTTTGTAAAACACGCACGATAAGGAAGAGATCAAACACAAAACAGTGAAGATTTCCTTCCTTTTCTGCGGGTCTTAAAAGAGGATACACGATAGGTGGTAAGGTGATGATGTGTGGTGTAGCAAAAAATTGACAAAAAGATCAAATAAAGGAAAATTATGAAAAGTAGGAAAAATCACAATTAAAAATTAAAGGACGTTTTTAGAAACATCAAAAAGTCCGGAACCTTCGCCGGTTTGGGGTGGCATCTTGGGTGAAAAAATATTTTTTTTTGGATTTTTAGTTTATAAGGATAGAATATAGATTTTATTTGTTTTTTTTGGGATTTTAAAATAGTTTTTGGATTTTGATTGCGATGATGAGAGGATTTATAAATTAAATAAGAGATATATTTGTGGATGCGAAAC